GGCCAGAATACTGGAGTGGGTAGCCTTTCCCTTCTCCAGGGTATCTTCCCAACCCAGGGATCAAGTCTAGGTCTCCTGCATTGCAGGTGGATTTTTTACCAGCTGAGCCACAAGGGAAGCCCAATCAGAACATGCATTTCAACTAAATCTAATAATTTGTACACAGTATAGCTTGAGAAGCACCACCTTAAAAACATCTTTCAAAGCAAGGTGAACAGATTTATTTCTTGACTCATATCAGTGGAAAAGAAAGCCAGTGATTTTGAAAGATTTGTGAGGTACAACAAAAAGTTCTCAGATTCAGAGGATCATACACCAAAATGTTTAAAAGTTGTTGGGATTTATTGACTTCTTTCTTTACTCTTTTTCCCTATTTAAAAAAAAAGGATTTAAAAAAGAATTTTAAAAATTTAATTTAGGGTTATAGCAAAAATTTTTAAAGCAGTTTTAGGGTTATAATAAAATTGAACATAGAGAACTCCCATATACCCTCTACACAGGCATATCTTTCTTTATTATCAACACCAGGCTCCAGAGTGGTACATTTATTACAATATCTGAACCTACTTTGACAGATCATTATCACCCCCAAATCCATACATTAGGGTTTATTCTCGGTGTTGTGCATTCTGGGTTTGGACAAATGTTGGCTATGTATCTGCCAAGGAAGTGTCTTATAGAATGGTTTCAGTGCCCTAAAAACCCTATGTGCTCCACCCATTCATTCCTCCTTCCCCCAAACCCCCGATCTTTACTGTCTCCATAGTTTTGTCTTTCCCAGAATGTCATATAGCTGGTATCATACACACAGTGTGTAGCCTTTTCAGATTGGCTTCCTCCACTTAGTAATATGCATCTAAGTTTATTCTATGTCTTTTATGATTTGCTAGCTCATTTCTTTTTAGTGCTGAATAACATTTCATTATCTGGATGTACCACAGTTTATTTATCCATTCACCTACTGAGAGACATCTTAATTGCTTGCAAGTGTTGGAATTATGAATTAAGCTCCTGTAAACATCTGTATGCAGGTTTTTGGGTGAATATATTCTTATTTTTATTGTTTCCTTCATATTCTTATTTTTATATCTCTATTTTGTAATCTTTCTTTCTACTATTAAAAGTTCTATTGACAAGAAAAAAACCTGTAACTATATGAGGTGACTGATATTAACTAAATTTATTGTAGAAATCAGTTTGCAATAGATACATATATCAAACCATTATGTTGTATACCTTAAGCTAATATAAAGTCATATGTCAATTATATCTCAAGAAAACTGGGGGAAAAGAATTCTCAAAGCCCTAAGTCCTGATGCTGATATTTTTGATATATTAAGCCATATTGGGCTTCGGGAAATTCTTCTCAGGCAATACTTATTTGCTAACAAGAATTTAGAAAGGACTGGAAGTGGGCTTTCAAATTTATTTTTAAAAATTTTGTCTATTTGGTTTTTACTTGTTTCCTTCTCTACTTCTATATGTCTGGATTCTCTCCCTCTTCTGAAGCCAACTAAAATAAGAAATTGTACCTATTTATCCACATAAATTATGTTGTGATCCTCATCATGTACACTATTTGCTATGTTTAGTATGTGACTTTGCTGCTATAATATTAACAATTCTTTGACTTGCAAATCCAGAAAAAAAGTGTATATTAACCACATCATTTGTATAGATTTCCCAAGTAAACAAAATGTTAAAAAACTAAGTTGAAAAGACTCCCTAGAAGAAAAGAAGAGTTACAAATCTCATACTTTGCTGAAGGGACCACTGATTTGTACAACCACTTGGAATACTAGTTTGACAGTATCTAGAAAACAGGCATGCTTTACCACCTAGCAGTTCCACTCCTAGACATACACATTAAAGTAACTTGCACAAATGTACATGTTCAAGAATGTTCAAAGTGGCATGCATGGGGACTTCCCTGGTGGTCCAGTGGTTTAAGACTCTGCATTTCCACTGCAGAGAGCACAGGTTCCATCCCTTGTCAAGGAAGTAAGGTCCCACTTGCCTTGTGGCACGGCCAAATTTAAAGAAAAAAATAAAATAAAAAAATAAGTCATAGCATTTAGGGATGCATATTTAGTCCCAGCATATTTAGAGGGTGAAAGCAAAGGAAAACAAACAGATGAGTAGTCACTTTTTTGTTTGTTTATTTAAAGAGAACCCATTTTTGGACTAAGCCTTTGTTGGTTTTTTTTTTTTTTTTTTTAATTAAAAAACATTTTTTGGCTGCACTAGATCTTCATTGCTGTGCACAGGCTTCTCTTATTTTGGAGCACAGGCTCTAGATGTGCGGGCTTCAGTAGTTGCAGCGAATGGGTTGAGTAGCTGTGGCACCCAGCCTAAGTTGCTCCGCAGCATGTGGGATCTTCCCAGACTAGGGATGGAACCTGTGTAGCCTGCATTGGTAAGAGGATTCTTATCCACTGTACCACCAGGGAAGTCGAGTAGTAACTTCTTGAGGAAAGGTATTATCATTAGGGATGGAAACAGGTGGCACTTCTAGACACTTAAATGTCCCTTTCTTGATGATCACATGAGTGTTTAATATTGTGTCTATTTATGTTTTATGTACTTTCCTGTATGTGTTATATTTCTAGTAAAAAATGTTAAAGAGAAAGACCAAAGTTTTGTATTGTTCTTTACTCAAAAACATAACTGGATGCATTGTGATTGTTTATATTCTCTGGTTGACATTCAGTCTCAAAATAAACAGTGGAGACATATGATCAGCAACAATTTAATGAAGCCTTAGCAGTCATTGGATTCTCAAGTGGGTATAAAACCTGTCATAAAAATTAGTAAAAGATACAAGATAGAACACAGTTTAACACTGATATGATAGTAACAGCAGCTTTACAAATATTTAACCATAGGATTTCTATAGCATTTTCAGAAAAATGAACCTTTATCTCACAAGAATGATAAAATCATTTAAACTGATACAGTACACATTGGTTTATTAATATTATAAATGTTATTAGATGTCCCATAAAATATTGTTACAGATACTCACCTGCTTTCTTCTCAGTGATCATTCCCTTTATTTTACTTAATATAAACATAGTAACAGGTTTAAAAGTTTTTATTAGAAACAGATGTATTTCTTAACTTTAGTATCTGTTTAATTTTCATCCATAAATGTAAATATAAATGCGGGTTTCATAAAAACAAAACACTGTTTGTTCCTATATCTGCTTTCCAGCCTGGTGACTTCTCACAATCCTCTCTTTGGCATCTCAAAGTTACATTTATCTGAGGAAATATAGGCATTTCTGGGAAATTACTAAAATATATTTTTAGCATAATCAGGGAATATTTCGGGGACATCATCTATGTAACTGCTTCCTGCCGGGTTAGAAAGTTCAGTGTAAAACTGACACTCCTTGATTCCCCTCCATGAGGAGCCACTATCCTTATTCTCGGAACTGCAGTGGAAGTTACCAGCATCAGAGCTAACACTGTGCCTTCAGAGTCTCACTCACCCTAACGAGAGCTCCTCTTCTTTCGTGATATTTAGCACATTAGTGGCAGGGATCCTGGCTGAAGCTACAGTAGTATCTACTGCTAAGCAGACGTATTTGACAAAACTGGGGGCTCCCAGATACTGGAAACCTTGTAGGAGACTGCCTGGTAGGGTTGCCACGTAAAACATAGGATGTTCAGCTAAACTTGAAATTCAGAAAAACAATGATGTATTTTTTTAAGTATAAATATATTTCCTAGGCAATATTTGGTGGTGGTGGTTTAGTTGCTAGGTCGTGTCTGACTCTTACCACCCCATGGACTGCAGCCTGCCAGCCTCCTCTGTCCATGGGATTCGCCAGGCAAGAATACTGGAGTAGGTTGCCATTTTCTTCTCCAGGGGATCTTCCCGACCCAGGGATCAAACCTGGGTCTCTTGCATTACAGGCAGATTCTTTACCGACTGAGCTTTACAAGAGAAGCCCATGGCAATATTTAGGACATTGTTATACTTAAAAAATTACTCATTGTTCAGTGGGCCCTATATATACTTAATGATTCCCCGGTGACTCAGTTGGTAAAGCATCTGCCCGCAATGCGGGAGACCCAGGTTCGATCCCTCGGTTGGGAAGATCCTCTGGAGAAGGAAATGGTAACCCACTCCAGTACTCTTGCCTAGAAAATTTCATGGATGGAGGAGCCTGGTGGGCCACAGTCCATGGGGTCGCAAAGAGTTGGACATGACTGAGCAACTTTTCACTTTCACATATATACTTGTTATTTGTTGTTTATCTGAAATTCAAATTTGATGGGGGTGTCATGTATTTATGGGCTTCCAAGGTGGCGCGAGTGGTAAAGAACCTGCCTGCCAATGCAGAAGACAGGAGATGCAGGTTGGATCCCTGGGTTGGGAAGATCGCCTGGAGGAGGGCATGGCAACTTACTCTAGTACTTTTGCTTGGAACATCCCATGGACAGAGGACTCTGGTGGGCTATGTCCATTGGGTTGCAAAAGGCTGGACACAACTCAAGTAACTTAGCAGGCATGTATTTATATTTGCTAAGTCTGGCAACCCTGAATTGGCAGGAAAAAGTAAAATCCTGTGATTGTACAGAATGACTGTTACTGAATTGATAGGTGGTTGAGGACAGAGAATCAGGTCTCACAGTGAATCTGCTATGGACCTCAGAGAATCCCTGGTGGGGCACTGTAGAAAACCCAAGGTTCATGTAGAGGTCTTCCTGAAGTCTATATTTAGCTGTAGGAATGTGGATAGCAGATATCAAAGTAAGGAATATCCCGGACTTCAATAAGGCAGATGTAGCTACCTACCTAAGTTACTAGAAATGAAATTCTAATTTTTAAGGTCACGTTGGACCTTTTGCTTCAAATCCTTTTGGAATAGTTAGGTTTGGATGGGAGATGATCTTACTTAATTGCTTATAGGGAACAGAAATAAAATCTAGAGGGTCTTTCTGGGTTAAGTAGCACTTAATGAATGCATGAGCTTCATAGGATGAAATACTTTGCTTTCCAATTGCCTGAGAATACCCAAGATGAATGGGTACCAGGTTATTTTATTAATGCCATAACTGTACATATAGAGCACAAATTAGAGTTATCTAGTTAAATTTGAATAACCTTTCCAACCTAAACTTAGTAATTCCAGGATAAACATCACTCTGGGGATTGCATTTTCCCATCTGTCCTGTGAGCAATCATATAAACTAGAAAGTATTTGAATACCCACTTTACATTACAGTATGCATGGGCTCCACCATATTTTAATTCTTCAAATGAATTATATATTAATATAATCATTTATACATACTACATTTAAAAAGGATTGGGGTCATTTTATATGTACATTTTATGGATCATTGCTGGGGGTCAGGCAGAGGTGGCATCAGTTTTGTTCATCAAAGTTGCTTGTAGAAACTGGCAGAGTTTGAGTTGGGCTTCTAGGGTGAGCCAGCTATGAAAAAAACAAGAAGTCTCAATTATAATATGAATTATGTTCTTGTGGTCAGCATAGCTCTCCTTCCTCACTATCAGAACCTAGATTTTATGCAAAGCAGCAATGCGGCCAGATTCTAAAAATCACTTTTTCCAATTTCCCTGATATAATCAAAGTTCCTGGATATCACCTGTTTAAAGAGATGAAGGTCAGTTTAGCTAGGACACCCTTTTGATCGTTGCTGTTCTTATCTTGCTTACAATGTAGACAAGAGGCTTCAGGAAGTATAGATGTTCTGCACCGTAGGGATAAAAAGCCATGTGTTACGGTTGGAAGAGAGGTGACGACATGGGAAGCTGCTATACCCTGTATCCACTGCCTATTTCCCAAGGCAATATGCAGAAAAGAAAAATAAGCCTCTATTAGCTTAAGCCACTATAGTCAGATTTCTATTGCCCACAGTCAAACGCAAAACCTAACTAATAGGAGTGGGGAAAGTTATTCCATGTCTAAAACAAGTTTTTACTAAATACCCTGTTATCTTTGGCCACCTGATGCAAAGAGCCAACTCACTGAAAAAGACCCTGATGCTAGGAAAGACTGAGGGCAGGAGAAGGGGGCAACAGAGGATGAACTGGTTGGATGACATCACTGACTCAATGGACCTGAGTTTGAGCAAACTCGGGGAGACAGTGAAGGGCAGAGAAGACTGGTGTGCTGCAGTTCAAGGGGTTGCAAAGAGTCAGAGACAGCTTAGCAACTGAACAACAACCACTATCCTCTACTAAGTGGGTTTTGGAGAGCACAGCATATGGCAAAGGTCTCATCTGTGATCATTTTAAACTATTTATTTGTGGCTGAGCTGAGTCTTCGTTGCTTTGCGCAGGTTTTCTCGAGGTGTGGCCAGGAAGGGCTACTCTTCATCGCGTGTGTGGGCTTCTCACCGTGGGGGCTTGTCATGGAGCACTAGCTCTAGAGCTTCGGTTCAGTAGTTCCTCGACATGTGGAATCTTCCCAGATCAGGGATTGAACCGAGTTGTTCCCTGCATTGGCAGGAGGATTCCTATCCACTGCACCACCAGGAAAGACCCTCATCTGTGATGTTTGAGGCTGTTGCGCAGTACATGGGTTTGTCGCTCATTACATTTTTACTTGCTTCCACATTAACCAATCCACTGTAGTAGTTACAGGGTGGAGCAGGGACAAAAAAGACCTAGAGCTGAACACACTAGGGAAGGGCAGAGTTCCCTGTGGTTAGGATTTGGTGCTTCCACTTCCATGGCCTGAGTTCAATCCCTGGTCGGGGAACTGTCCCACAAGCAGCACAGCCAAAATAAGAAAAAGGAAAGGGCTTAGTTGTTAAATAAGGCCTCTGCCTTCTGCCTCTGCCCTTCACAATTTATGGTATCACCAAGGAATGTGATCTGGGAGTGGACTCCTATTGAAGGCTCCAAAGAATTTGGAAAGGGGCATTGGGCCACACCTGCAAAGAAGGCCACAGAGTCCCCAGCAGGACAAGTTGATTGGCAAGAGGGAAACCAAGCTATCCTGCAGAAGGAACTGATTCCTTTTTTTAAAAACAATAATTGATTTACAATGTTATGTTAGTTTCAGGTATAAAATTTCAGATTCTTTCCATTAGAGGTTACTATAAGATACTGAATATCATTCCCTGTGCTATACAGTAGGTCCTTTTTGGTTATCTATTTTATATTATATAGTAGTGTACATCTGTTAATCCCAACCTCCTAATTTATCCCTCACCCCCCTACTTCTTTGGTAACCATAAGTTTGTTTTCTACGTCTGTTAAGTTGCCTTCAGTTTTCTAAATAAGTTTATTCATATTATTTTTTTGGTTCCATATATGTGATATATAATACTGATCTTTCTCTGCCTAACTTCACTTAGTATGATAATCTCTACGTCCATTTATGTTGTTGCAAATGGCATTATTTTATTATTTCTTATGGCTGAATAACATTCCATTTCATATATTCATATGAATTCATATATACTCATGTATGTATACACACACACACACACACACTTATATGACATCTTTATCCATTCATCTGTTGATGGAAATTTAGGTCACTTCCATGTCTTGGCTATCATAAATAGTATTGCAATGAACATTGGTGTATGACTCTTTTTGATCCAGTTTTCATCCTTTCTGGATATGTGCTAGATCATATAGTAATTCTATTTTTAGTTTTTTAAGGAACCTCCATACTGTTTTCCATTGTGGCTACACCAATTCATGTTCCCACCAACAGTGTAGGAGGGTTTCCTTTTCCCTACACCCTCTCCAGCATTTATTATTTGTAGATTTTTGATGACGGCTGTTCTGACCAGTGGGAGGTGATACTTTATTAGGGTTTTAATTTGCATTTCTCAATAGTTAGTGATGTGCAGTATCTACTCATGTGCCTGCAAGCCATCTGTAGATCTTTGGAGAAATGTCTGTTTAGGTCTTTTGCCAATTTTTTTATTGAGTGTTTGTTTGATATTGAGTTGTATAAACTATGGTATATTTTGGATATTAAGTCCTTGTCAGTCACATTATTCACAAATATTCCCTCCCATTCAGTAGGTTGTTTTTGTTTTGTTTATGGCTTCCTTTGCTGTCTAAAAGCTTTTAAGTTTGATTAGGTCCCATTTGCTTATTTTTGCTTTTATTTCTTTCACGACAGGCAAAAACTTCTCAACACGGGAATGAACGAAGGGAGGACAGAGTTGGGGTGGGAAGTGTGTCTGTAGCAGAATTTGTGGTGAGTCTGTTGGGCCAGAGGGAGATGGAAATATAAGCTTCACAGCCAAGAGGCCAGCAGCCCTGAGCCCCAGCACTCTAGCAGGAAGCGGCTGCTTCTCACAGATCTGATGATAAAGGGGATCGGGGAGATGAGACAAATAGAGTTTGGAAGAAATCACACAAGGGCCAACTGATGCACTGGATTTTGGTGTGTGGGTCATACAGGCAGGTGACCAAGAAAGCTGCCAAGACCCTTTCCCACCAGCTCTGCATTATCTGACTCCTATCTCCATCTTCATCCCTGTCTCTCTGTTACAGCCTCGCTGGCCACTTTCCAGTTCCCCAGACAGACCCTGATCCCTCCCACCATGAGACCTTTGCGTATCTTATTCTTTTCTCCTGGGACTCTCCTCTGTGACATTCATGGTGGGCTCACAATACAAGTACCCTCTCCAGTTAATGCCTACTTATCCTTCAAGTCTCACCTCATCACTTCCTAAGGGAATCTTTCTGAGATCATCCAGGTTGGATCAACTTTCTCCAAGGGTTCTCACTGAACCTTGTTACTTTCCTTCACAGAATTTACTTCAGTGCAAAATTACACAAACTGTGATTATTGATTACTGTCTACTTTTGCCACTAGATTGAAAGCTCCAAGACAGTAGATCTGTGTCTGTTTCTGCTTACCACTATCTCCCAGGTATTCCAGCACAGTGTCTGGCATATAGGAACTGCTTAATAAATAGTTGTGAATGAAATTAATAAAACCAGACACTCATTGCTAAAGTAGAGATGATAATCTTAGCTATTTCATAGCATTTCATGAACCGCAAACATGAAGTTCTTTATAAAGCATCAGTTCAGTTCAGTTCAGTTCAGTCCCTCAGTCATGTCTGACTCTTTGCAAGCCCATGGACTGCAGAAACACCAGGCCTCCCTGTCCATCACCAACTCCTGGAGTTTATTCAAACTCATGTCCATTGAGTCAGTGTTGCCATCCAACCATCTCATCCTCTGTCATCCCCTTCTCCCGCCTTCGATCTTTCCCAGCATCAGGGTCTTTTCCAATGAGTCAGGTCTTCGCATCAGGTGGCCAAAATATTGGAGTTTCAGCTTCAACATCAGTCCTTCCAATGAATATTCAACACTGATTTCCTTTAGGATGGACTAGTATAAGGAACTGTTTTAAAATTACTACTATTATTAAGAAAGATGCTTTAGATTATGATTCTAAATTAAAGAGTTTGAAGAAAAGGAACCAAATGCTTTTTTTTTTTCCAAATGCTTTTCATAAAGGCTTACCTGAAATTTTCTCTTCAAGGCCCGGGTCATTACTGGGGTCAGCCCAGTTCCTGTTTCCAGATTTTCTTTATTAGTAAGCGGGGTTCCACCTGGGCTCCTGCAAAGGTAATGAAAATATTGGGAGCTGTGTTTTATGCCAACTCCTCAAATGAATTTAGAGAGCATAAAGATAGGAGAATGGATTACCTTTCCACATCGACTTTTCTAAGTAGTTTCCGTAGATCTAACTGACTTTTACCAGGAGTACTGATAAAATAAAAATACAAAAGTTAGAGCTCACCAGGTTGTATAATTTTTCTCAAAGTAAAGCAATCATTTCAAAATACGCAACATCCTAGAAAGTAGTTTGTTACATTAAAAAATAGCAGTAGATGCTGATAGGAGCATAAAGTGATATAATGATTCTAATAATAAGAATCTAATAATTGAATAATACCTTCATTTTATTATTTTTTTAAAATAAGTTACTGTTTTTGACTTTGTAATTACACTTGTAAGAATTCATCTTAGGGCAAAACTCAGCTACACACACAGATGATGGACAGGGATGATTATTGAAGAGTTATAGAAACAAAAAAATCATAAAACAACCCAAGTGTCTCAAAACAGGATTTTATCTATGAAGTTCACATATTAAAAAACTGCATCTATTGAAGAAGTCAACATGATTCTTTAAGCTAATTTTTAATGAGATAGGGGAAAGTTTATGACACAGTAATGGGAAAAGCTGTATTTATATATATTGGGTTGGCCAAAAAGTTCATCCACATTTTTCTATAACATTGCACAGAAAAATCCTAACAAACTTTTTGGCCAACTCAACACAATATAAATTACACATGGGTACATACATGTGTATGTATGTATATACATATTCCATGCAATATGTATTTAATATACATATTTCATACACATATACCTGTAATATGTATATTACATATACATATTTCATTGATTCCAAGACATACTAATTTTAATATATTTCTGAAACTGTGCTGATTTGAAAATTCCTGATGATGTTTTATATTTTGCAATAAATAGCACCATGAACTGGAAATAATAGTGTATATGCCTAGAAAAAGACTAGAATGATAAACAACAGTATGTTAAGACTGGCTGTCTCCAATGATTTGATTATTTGATGATTTTTGTTTTCTTTCAACATCACTGTATATTTCAATTTTACTAAGTGATAATTATAATTTTAGAGTTAGAAATAAGCAAAATATTACTATTTTAAAGTAGCAGTAGAGTGTAATATTGTTCAGTTCCTTACATTAAGACATTTGTAACTCGAGTTGACAACACTTTGGACTTTGGTTTCAGGGTAACGCGCTGCAGGTCAGAGACAGTAACCAGTGGGTTCTGTACCTTTGGTGATGGTACAAGCTTTAATCACAAAATGAGACATTATTAAAAACAGATTTAAAAATATCACTCAAAATGTAAACATATCAAAGCAACAAATATTTGCATGCTGAGTATGTGTAAAATATATCTATTCAATTTTTATTCCAAAGCTTCAAAGTATACCTCTACCTTTTCAAGCTAATGGTTGGTGGATAAAACTGCCGAATTAAATAATTGGGGGATTTATATATTTTGTTGAGGAGATCAAAAATTACTCAAATAAAATATCAAATACTTTCCTCAGAACAGCTTTTATATCTAAGACTTATGCTTATTTTCCATTAAGAGACAAGGAGGTTCAAAAACGAAAGACCTCATGTGTGGTCAATGATTTCTTACCATCCTCCTTTCATCCAAACTCTGTGTCTTCTTTAATTTCACAGTCAGTAGATCTTTAACTGTTATCTGCATGGGTCCATTTTTTTTTAATGGTCCAGCCTTAAGACACAAGGAAAAATTAGAATTCAAATTGAAACCAGGACATCTAGTCAAATGCAAATCCAAATCTAGTTTTTAAAGCCTCAGAGTTAAAAATTAATTCTTATTTCCCCTAGGAGGCAATCAAATTCTTTCCATGCAACCAAGAACTAATTCTGTTTCCAGTATCTATGGATGCTAAGGCTACTGAAAAATATTAATGAAAATGTAAGGCTTTGAAACTAAGTAAGAGCTGGGCTTGTTTTCTACAACTACACATCTTCCTTAGGAATCATTGTATTAAGAGAGAAGTAGAAAGAGTTCCTCTAATTAACATGAAGTTTTGCCTAAACTACCTAAGAAAAGGACACATTTGTTAGAAAGCAAGAACATATACTCGAAGAGGTATATTTTAGGGCAACTGTAACAACAGACTCTGCATTTAATTCCGTCATTTTAAACCAAATGTATCGGCAGTAAAAAGTAATCAGCTTTTTAGATAGGGCTGTGTATAGGTTAGTGGTTCCCCTTGGCAGGTAAGTACCTCTAATGGAGACTGGTTCTCCAATCTAATGGCATCACACTTGAGGATCTACCAATTCTTTTTCTTTTTTTGTAAAATTTTTTTTATTGTGATAAAAGTCACATACTAAATAATATAAAGCATACTATCTTAGCCATATTTAACTGTACAGTTCAGTGGCACCAAGTATATTCATATTGTGCAACACTCACCATCATCTATCTCCCGAATTTTTCACCTTCCTAAACTGAAACTCTGTCTCCATTAAGCACTAAGTCCCCATCCCCCTGCTCACCAAAAACGAAAAAGGCTAAGTCCCCATTCCCCCTCCCCACCTCACCCTTCGTACTTTCTGACCCTATGAATTTGATTATTCTAGGTACCTCCTACATGTGGAATCAAAGACTATTTTTCTGCGCCTACTGTTATTCTGACTTCACTCACTAAGGAGTCTTTAATTTGGTTTCCCAGAGAGATTTTCCTGTTGGTAAAAAGGTATACCAAGAAGCCAACAGGAATCTCTCACCCTGCTGGGTTTCATTCATTTATCCTCCAAAAAGAAAAAAAAAAATCACTTTCATTTCTAAATCCAACTTCTGTGAACTCCCTGGGGACCATGTCTTTAGAAACAATAATTGCCATAAGCAGGAGATGGAATTAGAACAAAACGCAGTCTTTCCTGTCAGAGCTCTTTGCCCAGCCTTAAAAAAGACACCTGGCTTGACTCCTTCCTTGCCCACTGACACACCTTTACTAGACTGTTCTTTTACCTGAAGTGCTTTCGTGAGAGCAGATTTTCTGAGCAGCAATGGCGCTGTCGGTGGTGGGGGTGGAGGCAGAGGGGGAGGCGTGGGAGGAGGGGGAGGAAGGGGAGGAGGATGACTGGTGGGCTGAGCTGGGGAGGGAGGACGGAGATCTGCGGAGTCTGCAGGGCTGGCTGGCGCACAGGCGGGCACGTCTGGAAGCTTACCACCCATGTGACACGCTTGCCCACAGCTGGGACGCGAGGAATTTTCTGAGATGGCCTGGAAGAAAAAAACTACATTTGGCAACTGAAGAACAGATTTATTTGGTTCTTCTTTATTTATTTGAGCAGTCATCAAAATCATAGCTGCCACGTGTTGAATGTCTTCTCCGCACACCACGTGCGCTACAATATTTTCTCATTTGTCACACGCTCATTCACTCATTCATCTATTTGTTCTGTGTGTGCTATATGCCAGGCACTTGGCTACAGCGTGAGTCCTGTCTGTCTCCCCATCCAGCTGACAGTCCGCTGAGGAAGACAGATCTCAAAGATACACAAAACACATTCGAAACAAGCCAAGTAATACTTTAAAAAGAGCCAAGGCTTCCTTGGTGGCTCAGTGGTAAAGAATCTGCCTGCCAATGAAGGAGACACAGGTTTGATCCCTGATCCGGGAAGACCCCACATACCCCGGAGCGATTAAGCTTCTGCACCACAACGATTGAGCCCGTGCTTTAAAGTCTGGGAGATGCAACTACTGAGCCTGTGAACCCCAGAGCTTGTGTTTGCAAGGAAAGAAGCTACCACAATGAGAACTGTATGCACCACACCTAGCTAGAAAGTAGCCCCTGCTCACTGCAACTAGAGAAAAAGTCCTCGAAGCAATGAAGATCCAGCACAGTCATAAATAAATAATTATTTAAAAAGAGAAAAATAAGAGCCACGAAGTGTAAAGTGAGCATGAATAGCTATTTAGCCATTATCTCAAGGATGAATTTAGGCTTATCAGGTGAAGAAAGGATATAAAGATTGAGGGAAGAGAGTTCCTGGGAGAGGGAAAAATACTTAAGGCAGCCAAGAATACCGTCTATTTAAGGAACTGATAGGAAAAAAAAAGTCAGAGGTTGCAACATGACTCTTATGGGCTGCATTGTCTTCCCCCAACCACAAGTCATATATTGACGCCTGAACCCCTAGTACCTCAGTATGTGACTGTATTTGAAGACAGGGCCTTCAAAGAAATGATTAAATTAAAAGGAACCATTAGGGGGACTTCCCTGGTGGACCAGTGGCTAAGGCTCCGCACTCCCAATGCAGGGGGCCCGGGTTCAATCCCTGGTCAGGGAACTAGTTCCCATATGCCGTAACTGAGACCCAGCACAGCTAAATAAATAAATATTAAAAAAATAATAATAAGGGGGCCATTAAGGTGGGATCTAATCCAGTGTGACTTGTGTCCTTACATAAAGACAAATCTTGAACACATAAGAGAGACACCAGGGGTGCATGGGCACAGAGAAAAGATCATCTAAAGACACAGAAGACAAGCAGACGAGAGAGGCATTAGAAGAAGCCAACCCTACCAACACCTTGAGCCTAGACTTCTAGCCTCCACAACTGTGAGAAAACAAATTTGTTGAGTAAGCCACTCAGTCTGTGCTACTTTGTCATGGCAGCCCTAGCCAATGGATACAATGACCCTTGGAAGTAAGAGGGCATAATAGTTCCTAGAGGCTGCCATAACAAAGTATCACAAAGTTGGTAGTTTACAACAGAGAAAAGTCATTCTCTCCCACTCCTGGAGGTTGGAAGCCTGAAATCAAGGCGTGCATTCCCTCTCAAGGCTCTAGAGAAGAATCTGTTTCTGGTCTCTTCCAGCTTGCGGAATGTATTGGTATATCTTGGTTTGCGGCCCTGTGACCCACGTCTGCCCCTGGCGGTCCTATTGCTTCTCTTCCCTCTATGTATTCTACTGTGTGTGTCTTTTATAAGGACATTCGTCATTGGATTGAGGGTCCAACCAGGTGATGAAGTATGATTCCTGCATCTCAAAACCCTTCACTTGATTATCTATCTACAAAGACCCTGGTAGATAAGACAATATCTACAGGCTTCCGGGGATTAGGACTTGGGCCAACTTTTTGGATGGCCATCACTCAGCCCACTACAGATGGCATCTTCCCCATTTTATCGATGCAGAAACTGAGGTCCAGGTTGTAGGGTGATTTGCCTTTTCTCTTTAGGCTAGATCACCTTGAGGTACAAATTCTGGGTTAGGGGTATAGTCCTAGAAGTGTCTCTCCAAATCAATGAGCACAATGTTTATTTTTTATGTTTTAGACACTGAGAATAAGGGTTCTTGCTTAGGGGAGTTTGGAGAAAGTGGATATCTATAGTTTTTTTCCTGCCTATCTCAGTCAAGAAGTTAGAAACCACATTGAATATTTAAATGAGGGGACAGAAACTTCCCTGCAGCCCAGTGTTTAAGACTTTTGCCTTCCAATGCAGGGGGTATGAGTTCGATCCCTGGTCAGGGAATTAAGGTCCCACATGCCTCAGGGTGCAGTCAAAAATTAAAAAAAAAAAAAAATTTTGTTTTGAAGAGGGAACATGTAATATGGGGAGTTGGTTATACCACTATACTATGGAAGGGCTGGGAAGTACTGAAGGGACAGTGAGGCAGCCAAGTCATTAGCAACAGCAAAAGCCATGAACACTCTGAGGCTGGAAGGTCAAAGGAACGGGCAGTGTAACCAGACCTCCGGAGCTAGGGTAACTCAGGGAATCTAGAAACATGGTGGACTTGACCTAGTGGGAGTGGGACTGAGGCAGGCAATGATACCCATTGCTGGAGAAACTGCCCAACACAGAGAACAAAGGGGGAAAATACCCCATCTTCTTCGCCTGTCTTCCTTGGGTCGGGAAGATCCCCTGGAGAAGAAATGGCTACCCACTCCAGTATTCTTGCCTGGAGAATTTCATAGAGAGACGAGCCTGGTGGGCTACAGCCCATGGGGTCATAAAGAATTGGACATGACTAAGTCACACACACACACATATACATATACATATACATACATGTATATGTGGCACTAGTGGTAAAGAACCTGTCTGCCTATGGAGGAGATGTAAGAGATGTGAGTTCCATCTCTGGGTTGGGAAGATCCCCTGGAGGAAGACATGGCGACCCATCCTATTCCAATATTCTTGCCTGGAGAATCCCATGGACAGGGGAGCCTGGTGGGCTATAGTCCAGGGGCTACAAAGAGTTGGACATGACTGAGCAACTAACACTTTCACTTTTCTCGCTCCTTCTAGCCTCTCATCAGTGTTTCCCATGAGTGCACACTGGGAGCCAGGTGACATGCAGCTTAGGCAATGGTGCCTGCAGGCGTCAGCCCCCCTGCGATGCAGAGCAGAGCCTCTCCCGTTTAAGGAAGAAATCTGACAGCAAAGATGCCCAGAACTAGCACGAGCCTGTAGCCACTCCTTCTTCTAATGAAAGCATGCTGGGGTTCTAATGCAGGACTAGCCCTTCCCTCCGTACCTAATTCTGGCTTTGTTTTCATTTGATAATGCTAACCTTCAGTGCTTCCTGGAGCTTGCATACTTCATCTTCCAAAATGCAAAACCGTTGTTTTAGACTTCGAAGTTCTTGGTGGCAGAGACGGGATGGAAAAATGGTGTTTTTTAAGACTTCTAAACTCTGAAATTCACAAATAAAGAAGTCTGACTCCACTGAGCAATATGATAAAGAAAATGCTATGATGTATGTTTTATAGAAGTGAAGGCAACAACAAGGACCTATTGTATAGCACAGGAAACTATATTCAATATCTTTTAATAATCTATATGGAAAATAATATGAAAAAGAATATATATGTGTGTGTGTAACTGAATCACTTTGCTGTACACCTAAAACTAACACAACATTGGAAATCAACTATATTTCAATATAAAAATTTTACTTGAAAAAGTGAAGACAGACATAACCACCTAACTTCATATTATGTGAGCTAAGCTTGAGTGTCTACTGACCTGAGCACACACATGTAAACACACATACTAAGTGTGTAGAAAAACCATAATGCTGAAAAAATGTATGTCAAATCCATACCTGGATCATGCAGCTCTGGCACCAGCTGTATATAGACCATACTCTATTTGTCCAAAGCTTTATTGCATTTTTAAAACTGGGAAATCTGAAGTTCCAGGAGAGTCTTAGCCAACTTCTGCTAATGGGTATATCTGTTGAAGGAATAACCGCTCTGTAGGAAAGACAAAATCAAACAAAGCAAAAACTCCTGAGTTGGAATTAACAGGCTCTAATTAAATAATTCTTAGTTTAGCACCTAAGAGCGGAGAAGGCAATGGCACCCCACTCCAGTGCTCTTGCCTGGAAAATCCGATGGACAGAGGAGTCTGGTAGGCTGCAGTCCATGGGGTCGCTAAGAGTCAGACACGACTGAGCGACTTCACTTTCACTTTTCACTTTCACGTGCTGGAGAAGGAAATGGCAACCTACTCCAGTGTTCTTGCCTGGAGAATCCCAGGGATGGGGGAGCCCGGTGGGCTGCCGTCTATGGGGTCGCACAGAGTCGGACACGACTGAAGCGACTTAGCAGCAGCAGGACTTAAAGGAATCTTCAAAGCGTCTTTCAAATATAAATGTAAAGTAAATTTTTGTATTTAAAAAGTGGACTTATTCTTACGGCAAGTGACACAGTTTAACTGATGGGGTAAGATTTGCACCTGTGAAAGGTCGCACCTACCAAGCTGTCACAAAGAATGCCATACGTGTCCCCAAGGAGGGTGTCGTTACTTGACATATCGGAAAAATCTCCTTTAAGAAGGATGCTATATGGGATTGCAATGTAAGTCAAAGTTTCTGCTTGGTTTGGTGTGGTTTGTATTTCTTACTACTCATCTCTCATTTGTCATTAACGTCTCCATTTCCTGAGTTTGTTTAGCTGCATAAGGAGCAAGAAGAAAAAAAAAAACAACATCAGAATCACTTCAACTGCTGGGAGAACCAAAGCAGTGCTGGCTGTTAAAAGCTGTTAATTGC